CAATGTGAAGTCTGAAGTCTGTTTTTTGTAGTAGAGATGATGTAAATGAATAAGAAGAAACAGCGTACCATTCTTAGGGGGAGGTCCACCCCCCTATATGTACCCTTAAAGTATGTCAGTTTGAAGAGTACACCTGATTACATATATCCTTCCGTTTTGTCGATGAATTGATAACTACTCACAGAATTATTAATTAATTAAGTTTAAATTTTAATTAAAATTTAAGGTCCTAGTTCTCATTTTAAAAAATGGCTAGGTCAGTCAAAAATAATTCTGGAAAAGTCATGCATGCATTGCTTGATAACCAATGCTCTGTTGTTATGGTATCATGAAAAAAGTTTAAAAGAAATTTCTTTAAGACAATAATTTATAATTAATCAATGTTAATAAATACTAAGTAATATCACTCTGGTGCCTTACACTTTTATTTGCAAATTAACGGTTTATTGAAAACGGTAAAGTATATCGCTCAAAGGTCGTGTAGAGCTGGAAGATGCCTCGTTTTAATCAGACATTCATGGACTAGAATTACGCCTCATTAATAAAGCGTTTGGTAGTTTTTTAGAGTTTCTCGAACACTGGTTTTCCAGAAAATCGGTCTTTCAAGGCCTAGTAGCAGCAGTCATGGTGTTATTCGGAATCAGCATCGTCGACTACCTATAGTCCACTGGATTTCGTTCAAAAAGCGATTTATCAGTTGGGGTACTTCCCTCGTCAGTCGACTTTTCCAATCTATGCGCAGTATAGTTGATCTCTAGTTAAGTCGACTGAGTAAAACTTAGGAGACTTATTGCTTTTCACTTCGAGCGTTGCCTAGCAAAATTCTTCTTTCTTTCTTCTTCTTTCCATGCCGTTTTTCTAGTTAGATTCAGCTACTCATTCTAGGTTATAGCTAATCGTTGAGACTAGGGAAAAAGATCATTCAAATCTACCATGGTATTTAAAACTCAAATGGTATTAATTTGAGTTTTTCTCCATGAAGAAATGGTTTAGGGAAGCTCGGAAAGTGATATTCATGATCAGCTCGACGCGGCGAATCACAATATATGTAAAAAGATGAAAAATAAAATCTGCTCAAATTTTGCTTTACGTGCACCTTATTAAAAAACATATGGCCAGAATGACCTTGTGAGAAGGGCAGAATTAAAGCTTCAAAGTAAAAAATCAGATTGCCCATATAAAAAAGTAGTTACAATAGCACAGAATAACAGCTCTTTTGTTTGTTCTCTTGACTTTAGTCTAGGGTCCTACGAAATGGTTGTCTGTGCGCAAAATACGGAAAAATGGGTGTTAGATATTCTATGAATAAGCGAATCACAAGAGACAAAAGTAGAAAATTATTTTTTACATAAGAGAGAAAATATGCAAAGAGATCATCTGAAATATCTACTGATGCAGAGAGGTAAACAGCTAAGCAAACGTTTTCTGTATAGGCGGAAGATAGATGTCGCCAGATAGCAGTCAACTGTGACAATACAAAAAAAGTGGCATAGGGTTAATAAAATTGACAGTGTATAGATAATCTATTATAACAAATCGATCAGAAATACTTCCAACCTCCTTGGGATCTGCAGAGGATGAGCAAAAACCTTTTAGCTTTATATTACATTACATGGTTTTCCGGTGGAATCAGAGAAGTTCATAACATTTCTCATCTATACTGGTTGCGAACGCCGACAGAAGGGAAGCATGAAGTTTGTTTTGAATTCAGAAATAGTTTTAGACCTCTTGAGATTTTTGCTCTTTATATTCATATTAGATTCCGAACCTTACACATGAAAACAGAAAAAGTCCAGAAGATGTCTTAGGCAGGTCTCCAGCGAGCGCCGATTTGACCATTCAACTGTCATCATGTGCTATGGCAAGGGGTCTTTTAAATAAGCTTCCCACATTTCTGTCGTCTCAAACATGATGAGAAGTTTAAAGTTTTCTTAAATTTTATTTGCGATAGTTCGCAGAAGAGTCTTAGTCCTGTTTGCGGAAATGCTGGTGCATCTTTCAGATGTTGCAAGGTCAAGTGTGTAATATTACTATCTATAGGTTCATTCAAGTATACATGCTTCTCTCGATAGTTTAAAGAAAGCAAACATAAGAAGAGGTTTATTTCAATATAATGAAAGTTAGAGTGAATGTGTCTCTTCACTGTTGCGCGTATGTGTGCCTGCTACATTTCTTTTTTCTTCACTTTTCTTATCATCATTATCACACGCATGTTATTTTACATATCACCTGTAAAACATACATGTAATAACTCTTTTGTTCTTTATTTTGTTTGTTCTATTAGTTTAATACTCAAGCTCGATCATTGTAGAAATGTGTTCGAGCGGAGACACAAAGGCATTCCCCACGATCAAGGAAATTCGAACTTTTCTTATTGATGAAGTGGGCTCCGGTGGTGATTGTCATGATGTAAAGCGAGGTCATTGGTAAGTGCTTCCTTTACCATGCTAATTCATGCTTTTGACTGAAAATTGATGTTAGGCTCGTTGATGATCCTATTGCGAATCCTATGTCTCGTTATGCGGAATATAAATCCTCGCGTGTCCAATGGGGAATAAATGTATTGAGTAGTTTTTGTGTAGAAATCGAAACCAGTGATGGTTCAACAGGATTTGCGACCGGTTTGGGTGGACCTGTAGCTTGTTGGTTGGTCGAACAGCACTTTCGTCGATTTTTGATTGGGGCAGATCCTCGTGACACGAATTTATTGTGGGATCAAATGTTTCGGGCAAGCATGTTTTATGGGCGAAAAGGATTGCCAATAGCCACAATTGGTGTGATCGATTTAGCCCTGTGGGACTTGATTGGAAAAATTCGCCAAGAACCTGTTTATAAAATGATCGGAGGAAAGACGAAAGACGAGTTGAGATTTTATTGCACGGGTCCTTGCCCAAGCGAAGTGAAGAAAATGGGCTTCTGGGGTGCAAAGGTTCCGTTACCATATGGACCTGATGAACCAGATGGCTTGAAAAAGAATATTGAGTTTCTGAGAAAACACCGAGAAGAGGTTGGTCCCGACTTCCCATTAATGGTTGACTGTTACATGGCGCTCAATGTTTCCTATGCGATCGAATTAGCGTCAAAGACCCTTGATCTGAACATTAATTGGTTCGAGGAAGTTTTGCATCCGGACGATTTCGATGGGTATGAAAAACTGAAAATGGCGTTACCACAAATGAAATGGACCACTGGTGAACACGAATACACACGTTACGGTTTTCGAAAATTGATCGAATCGCGCAACATCGACATCGTTCAGCCAGATGTTATGTGGGTCGGTGGTCTTACTGAACTCTTGAAAATATCGGCACATGCATCAGCTTACGATATTCCCGTTGTTCCACATGGTTCCGGGCCTTACTCCTACCACTTTGTCATTTCACAGTTAAATTCACCATTTGTGGAATATATCGCAAATTCACCCGATGGAAAGAGCGTTCTACCCGTCTTTGGAAATTTATTTTTGAATGAACCCATGCCCTTAAATGGAGTTTTGGGAGTGAACGCACTTGGCAATGCGCCTGGCTTTGGCTTGGTTCTAAATCCGAAAGTGAAGCTGATTCCTGCTGCGCGAATTTTGACTCCATCGCCAGAGAAGCCGCTAAAGTTGTCGAATGACGTAGAGAACAAATAATAACTTACTTTTAGACAAAAAAGGCTTTCAGATGTAATTTTTTTTGCATACGTTATTCAGCATCAAAGAAAATATATGTCATTCATACTGAGAAATAATCTAGAAAAAGGGAAATAAGGCCTTGATCAAAAGATACGTGTGTAACGTATTTTAACGCTACGTGACCGGGTTTCCTTCACGGGATGTATATGTTTGGCCCCGAGGAGCCTTTTATTACGTAAGTACCATTCACTCTACCGCACCGTACACCATAGGCGGCGGAACAGATCTGATCTAGGTGAGGTTCAAAAACGTTTTTCTATGGAAGGAAATCGAATATCTGATATTGTTATGGAAGGAAATCGAATATCTGAGCCACCACAAGCCTTCCTCTTCTGTTTTTAGGACCTGAGGGCTCCGCCGCTTGTGCCGTACACATACTACACAATAACTAATACATAATATACAATCACTAGTATATATAAAGAATGGAAGAGAAGAGAAAAAGAACAGGGAGAGAGATTGTAGGTTAGTAAGATGATACTCGTCGTTACCTCCCTCATAAAAAAAAAAGTACGGAAATATACCTGATTCATATGGAGAAATAATCCAGGAAAAGAAAAATAAGGCCTGGATCAAAGATATAGGTTGTTATTGTCGATGTAGAAAGGACTCACGCAAAATGAATGTTTGATGCTACTATCTGCCGAAAGCAAATAAAGGACTCAATAACACTGTTTACTTTCGACAGATAGTAGCATCAAACATTCATTTTGCGTGAGTCCTTTCTGCATCGAGAATAATAGTCTATGTATCAGCAAATACTTCAAAACTATTTATATTTCTCTCTACACTCTATTGGTGAGGGAGGTAACGACGAGTATCATCTACCAAATAAGTAGAAAAGTTTGAAACGAAAATGTTTGCGCCGGCTAGTAGCCCGTTAATTGAAAATATTTGTCACTGTTATGTTTGAAAAACTCACTTCCATTTTTCCACACCTAATGTCCATATGGTTGTCCACTTTGAAGCATTTTTGACAGGATTTTGTTTCCTGCATTGTTCAAGAGTTCTTCAAGCTTATAAAAACTAAAAGCACTACAAAAAGTTAAAAACTAACAGAACTTCAGTATTCTTTCTTTTTTTCCAATTCTTATTACTTTTCTCATTTATTTACATTCTGTCAAAATTAAAGGTTATAGTTCACACGAAAAATAGCATGAAAAAATGTGGTGGGAGTCTAAAATATCAGTAGTAAATCAAGAATCGCTAGCGTCACAAAAGTTAGAAATAGGAATTACATATACTTTATCTGAATCGTAGGCTTACTTTCTTACAGGTAAACTTAAAAGATGAAACAAAAAGCCAACCTCATTCAGCCAAGAAGAGAAGTCGCAGCGGTTTAATTATCAGAGTACCCAGTGCGAAATCAAAAAGATCAACGAGGATATCGAAAAGCCCACATCCAACCACTGGAACATCAACAATAGTAAGTCAAACGATAATGATGAAATTTATAGATCTTCGATCAGTCGAATATCAAGCGAACAGTTACAATCGTCAACGTCAAATGTAGAATGAAGAATCAACGTTAAATGAGAATTTAAAATACCATTAGTTCATTTATGAGAATTCTTGCACAAATCACTAGACAGGAAACAGGCAAATGAAAATATAACAAATTCGCTGAATAAAAATAAAAATTCTACCAATAGAAAAGTAAATTTGTCTTCTCGTCATTCAAATGAGGTGTCAATTCTCACGATGAATGATATTTGTACATCAGCGAGTTCAACATTAATCGGTGATCCAACTTTGTTGAATAAGAACAGAACGAAGAAGCGATATCAAGCGAAACAAATGAGCAAAAGGGATCGCCGGTATGAATATTTTTCTGCGTCTAACACTAGCTTGAGAATATTTTACCAAAACCGTTTACGATGTAACATTGTCTTCGCTCTGTGTTTATTCATTGGTATACTCACAATATTCGGTGTTATTGCATCGTCTATTTCTGTAATTGTAACAGCTCATAGTAAAACCATTACTACAACTTCTACCTTAAACACTGATGTCAGAAGTTTGTCAAGTACTACACTAACTATTATAACCATATCGAGTGTGTTTGCAATGTTCTTTCATTAAAATGATGCCCGCGAGTTTTGGAACGGAACGAGATCTGGTGTGCGTCGAATACGATGGGTCAAAGATGTGAAAAGGGAAAATTCTACTACTTTTGCTGGGACGGTAGAACATCAATAACTTTTTTTCCGCAAGAGCTACATATCGGTGATTTCCACCAATAAATTCAGTACAGCACGCTCTACGAAATCCATGCTATCTCGCCGATGGCGGTGAGATCTGATGTAATACTGATATGTTTCACGTGGATTCACCCGGGTGAAAAATCTAAATTTTCCAAAAATCTAGTTTATTCCCTGAGTTTAGTATATACACTAAGAGTGTGAATTCAAAACAAATTGTATGTTGGGAGAAAGTTCCGAGATAAGCGCACAATGTTGTGATATCTACAACTCTGAAAAAGAGCGATATCTACAACCGAGACCAATGGCCTGTTGTCGTCCATCACGAGTAGTGTATCTGTTTAAACTTTCAAAATTATTGCTTGAGTGTTCAAAAAATGGCATAATTAACACCAAAATGTAAGTGAATCTAACTCACCATCAAAATACACAGTGGTATTTTTTAAAATTTGAATATCTAAGCAACCATTTGCGACCTAGAGCTGCGGTTTGCATCAAGATGCATCATAACCTTCATGTTCTTTCCTTACATTATCGAAAACTCAGCTGCTGAAAGTCGATTGAGCACTATCGGCCGTCCGGTATCTGTAATGACTCTTAAATCAAACGATTTTTTCGCATGAAAAGATATAACTGGCATATCATTCGAGAAAATATTATTAGTTTTTAATGAAAGCGGTTCTGGGACCAGAAAAACGGATTTTGCCTGAAAAATCAAGGCGTTTTTAGAAAACCTGTAACTCGAAGCATTTGCGCTAGTTTGTGCGAACCATGTACATGTATCATAAGGAAAACAACGTTTCGTGAAATTTGTAGCTTTGGAAAATTTCGGAAACTCATTATACTGAACACTCTAAGCGTGGAAAGAAAAATTATTTTTCCGGCCGAAAGTCTTCTGCGAAAAACCTTTTTTACGAATCGATGTGTCAGATGATCTAGTTCGGGATAGACAAATATTGAAGTTTTTCGCATAAGATCGAAAAATATTTAAATAAGGTGGAAAAATACTTAACGGATTTTTAATATTAGTCGTTTAATATTTTTCTTTTTAACATTAGTTTATAGACCCTTTTTGCCCCGTAATTTACAAAACTTTTTTAAGTTGTGAGTCTTTACTTGGCGTGGGTGCTATAATGATTCGATTGCTCCCCACATTAAATAAACTATGTTTACATCTATTTACAACAAGGATACCTTTTTTTGTTGAAACTACCATTAATCGGTAGAGCATGAAAGTTATGTGCTTGGAATAGATTTTACATTCTGGCAACTTTTCCTTGGGTTATGGTACTGAATATACCAAGCTGCATCCATGAAAATGCATGCCAGTTCCGTTTGAACAGTAAAACTCAATTTCTCAGTGAAAATGACATTTTCTTCTATTTCAAAACTTGCAAAAACGTGTTTTCCGAAAATCTTGACGAGAATCAGGGGCGTCAAAAATCTGTAGTGAAAATTTTGAGAAACTGTGTGGCACGATATGTTTCAGATATCACTTTAATATGTCTTATTTCAAAAACATTCTACCTGTAATTTACATTTGTTTCAAAATTGTTAACCAGCTGCTACAATAAACGATGAATGTATAGGCATCACCTCATTTGTTAGTTTTATGATATATGATTTATGTATCGAAAGATAAGAGAGAACAAATGACGAGCAGGAAGACTTGTCAACTTTCTGCATGTATGTCAAAACATAGAACAGAAAAGCCTTTACACACATCATTTCATCAACAATAGTTAAAATGCAGTGCGAACTTTTGCTCCTCCTTTTAGTTATGTTACCATTTGGTAAGTGTTATTAATAGAAACTATGGAGAGGCAGAAGCCTGTTTGTAATGATTCTAGCCGAAGGTAGTATTTCTGTAGTATATTTCAGCATTATTAGAAAAGCTTTCATTTTACAAATTCATTAATGCATAAGTTAACTTATTAAACGCTACGACTTTTAGGTTCTGAAAACGATTTGTTTACGCCACGTTAGCTTATCGTTAGCAGTTCCGTTTTCTTGGACCTGGGTACTATACTATTGTATTACAACTTGGCTTCTTGTTTTTGATAAAAACTACTATTTGTTTACTAAACAAAACATAGGCGCGCGTATAGGAAAGTATTCACGCGTTAGAATTAATTTGTAAATATTCGAACTGCAATCTTGCGTTCTTCAGTCCTATGTAGTACTATGAAGCGGCTAACGATCGTTAGAACGCGTTAAATGTGAAAATAATCAAATGACGGTTCGTTTTGTAGACGTTTTCCTACCATTTACTGGCGGTTTTTTAGTACTCTATGCTAGAGGAATTTTAGAATGATTTTTGAATGTTTCATGACACACCTTGGAAGAAAACGTTTTTGGAAATTCTTATAGAAATCTTATCCGAATCTGACAATAATCTTATGTAGGAAAACGCTCGAATTTCGTAAGAGGCTGGTAAAAATCTGATAAGAGATTTATAACAACTTCGTAAGAGAGTGATAAGACTTTTCATGTTATTCTTATTTATCTTGATGTGTAGTACGGAGTGTAATAAGTTGCTATCCGATGGTGACTCATGTGAGTACTATACAAAAGGTTCTTTTGTGATAGCTTCTAGTGCTTTATCAGGACAGATATGTAAAGAATTTTGCTGCATATCACTAGTACTCTAGCTACTCTATCTTCTACCATTTAGAGATTCCGAATTGAATGCCACCTTTATGGAGGAAAGAGGGTCGAAAGCTTCGAGCTTCGTATTTTGCTTAAGATCAGTTTAGA